AGGCATAAAAATCCTCCCAGGCCTCGAAAGGACCGCTACGCAGGCGCGTGGAGAGGTGACCCACCCACGTCTCGGGTGTGGCGCCCATGAGCTGGAGTGTGCGGGTGGCAGACTGTAGCCACCGAGACACGCGTATGCCTGTACTGTCATACAAGGCAATGTCCGACAAGCGGATGAGTGGTGCGCCACCGTTTTGGCGGCGAGGGGATCGAGGAGCGGAGGCATGTGCCACGGCTGAGTAAGTCGGCGCAGGTCCTGGAGAAAGGGGCGCAGCTGACTGTGCGCCCGGGCCGCAAGGGTGTTGTGGAAGAAGAGGTCGCAGCAACCGCGGGAGTAGGAAGAAGGTAGGAAGGAGTTGTATAGGGTGCAGGGCGCGAAAAGCGAGCCTGCATGGGAGGAAGGGTAGAGGAGGTAGGGGGTGCGCCCGAAGGCGCGGCCACCTGTGAGGGTTGGGGTGGCTGAAGGCGTAAGAGGGCGAGGTCGGCCCGGAGCTGGGCAATCTCGTCCGCGAGACCTCGAACGTAGGTCGATCGAGGGGTGGCAGAAGGAAGAGTGGAGGGGGTGGACGCACAAGCGGCGCGGGGCATCCCAGAGGGGGGAGAGCCAGGTGGCGCTGCGGTCGTGCGAAGGGGGGGGAGGAGCGGGGCACCCGGAAAAGCTGAGACCATGGTAGCGGGTTGTTGTGCCGTGGCCGTAGTGACCGGGATCTGGGCAGGTGCGCCTGTAGACTGAGGGGGGGCCTGGCTCGTGGCGGCTGTCGTGGTAGGGGCGTGGACAGTCACCAAGATGGTCGGGTCAGGGGCAACGGAGGAGGAAGCTCCGCTGTGGCCACCCTGTCGGAGGACGGGGGACCCTATCTGGGAGCCAGGAGATGACGGACACGCAGTGTCCTGGAGTTGCTGCATGCCGGCGGCAAGGGTCGCCACCTGCGCCTGTAAGGGCACGAGGGTCGCGAGTTGCGCCTGGATGGGCGCAAGGGTCGCGAGTTGTGCCTGGATGGGCGCAAGGAGGGAGGTGAGGAGGGTGTGTAGATCCCCCTGGGGCTGATGGCCCTGGTCCGCCGGCACGGGTGTGGAKCCCGATGCCGTGGTCATCGCCGTGTCGGCGGCGTGTGACGCACCGTCGGCCATGGGGAGATGACGGACCGGACTGGAGGGGGCCAGAAGAGGTCCGCGTGAGCGGAGGGCGTAGGGGGAAGTCCGCGGTAGAAAGCAGCGAACGACGCTAGCAAGGCTAGCACGGGCGCCGTTAAAGGGGGAGGGGTGGTTCGGGTCCAGGGTGCCCGAAGAGGACGGGGAAGTAGGGGGGTTTTGAGGAACCCTAAACCCTACAAAAACCCTAAGAAAACCCTAACCGGGGTTTAGGGCTAGGGTAGGGTACCGGTGACCGAATCAAGAAAGTGAAATAGCAAGCACAGGGGGGCGGGAAACGGGAGAAAAATAAATAAACAGCAAGATTTTGGGAGAAAATAAAAATGAATAAGAAAATAAATAAACAATAAAAATATTTAAAGAAATAAGTAAAGAGATGTGAAGAGAAACAATATTTATTTTTTTGAAATTTTCGGCARCATTTCCCTACCCCCCACGGGGTCAAGAATGTGCCAAGGGAAAATGAGAGACCGAGGTGTGCACACTAGAGATGCCGCAAATAAATAAATAAAAAAGAAATTTCAGAGAATAAATAAAAAAATAGTAAATAAATAAGTAAGTAAATAAGTGCGTGAGCCCCACGGGGTCAAGAATGTGCCAAGGGAAAAGGAGAGACCGAGGTGTGCACTCTAGAGATGCCGCAAATAAATCAATAAAAAAGAAATTTCAAAGAATAAATAAAGAAATAATAAATAAATAAGTTAGTAAATAAGTGTGTGAGGAGGTGGGGCGAAATGGGTTATCTGATTTTTCAAAAATTTTGGCAGCATTTCGTTACCCCCATGGGGTCAAAGTGTGCCGAAAAGACTAAGTAAGAGAAAATCAGAAAATTTCGGCAGCACTTCGTTATCCCCACGGGGTCAAAACGTGCGCCGAAAGCAA